TGTTACATCTTTTTCTTATTACTCATAACACGTTTTTATATTATTGGCCTTATGTTGCATTCTGAGAAAACTTATTCGATATCATCAATGATAATGCATCTGTGTACACGTCTTGTGTTCAGATGATCATTATTTGCTTTTCATTCGATAGTTGAGTAGAAAACAGTGTTTATTGTGATTGTTTATAAACATAGAGAAGAAAAAAAAATCGACAACAAGGTGATGTAATTGAGCTAATACTTATTCGATTGGTGATAGGCATGTGCATTGTTTATCATAAAATAGATTTATTGTTATAATAACTGACGTCGTCGTCTGTATATTCACGATTGATTGAATAAAGAGAGAAATTATATTGTCCATCTGTTATATTTTATATTCTAACAAAGCGCCAAACAGAAAAAATATTATAAAATAGAAAATAAAAAGCAAAATAAAACCAAAAAAAAGATGACTCTTTTAGGTAATAAGTAAAAAAAAGAATTAGAGATTAAAATCTCTATCTATAAAATTGTCATCATTAGAGAGTTCGTTTCTTGTGTGTAAATAAGCGTTTCATGATGGAAACAAAAAAAAAACGTTTGTACAAGATATTTATTTAATCGATTCTCTATTAGAATTTGATTAATATCAATTCGTTGTGTTCACAAATTGATGACTATCAATGATTTGACATTCTAATATAAATAGTACACTTTTTCCGAAATTCACATGGAATATAAGATTCTTTTAAGATGACATGTAACGAACATTAACGTTGTCCAAGTGTGTTCAACAATGCTTTTTTGGTTTTAAAAGAAAAATGACCAACTATTTCAGACGTAGTAGAGAAAAAGCATTATTCCTAAATCTTGACATTCACGAAGTGTTAGTGAGAGTAGTGTGTATTTTACTTCTCGAATATGGTTAGTAATTCGTAACATGTAATACATCAATCAGATAAAATCGAACACTTACAGTCATACCCAGCAGGTTTTTCTATTTTCTCTAATATTATACGTGAGAAATAAATACGAAAATAAAGTAAATACTTTTCTTTGTATGTATGTATAGTTAACTGTAAAGAAATGTCTAAAAATCGATTACGTGTACGGATTATGTGGATAAAGATGTAGAAAGTTTTGTTGCCTACTATGACTACTATGAATGTTATGTTTAATTCAACAATTAATGACAGAAATTTCTCCATTGGACAGAAAATTTGTGTTTTTAATTAAAATTGAAAATTTTTTGAAATTCTCTTCAGAATTATATTTATATCTATTTCCTTATTCTCAAATGTATTCATCTCAGAATATGAGATCCTTCTACACTATCGATGTTGATAAAGAGCCTGACATCCTACCCTATGATATATATATATATGTATATCGAATTAGGTATTTCATGTTGAAATTAGACTCAGAAGTCTATCATAACATATAGTTTTTGTTGTAAATTAATAAAAAAATCACTGACAACTGGTGACAACAAATTTTGTATTAATTATTAGAAAAGATATTGAGAAAAAAACATAGATTTATCATAAAAAGGAGAAGAATGTCAGAATATTCGCTCAATTTTTATATAAGATCTTCCCTATATATAGAACGAAATGAGATATTTTATCCCTATTTCTCTGATAATTTATCGTCTAGGATAATAAACCTTGATTTTCTCATATATATATATATGCACAATCAAATCACTCTGAGTTTGATAACTAGAATTATGATGAAAGTCCTTGACATTCGATGTAATTAATTCGTACAGTATCTAAGTAACTTTTAATAATCTGAATAGAAAAAATATTACTAAAGAATTGTATATAATGGAAAATTTGAAACTTCTATAACAAACTATTTCCACTATACAAAGTTGTAGATATTAAGAAGACTGCATAATTTACATAGATGTATATCTGTGATATGTACGTAACATAGACAGACGCCATGTTCAGAGAATATTTGTTGAAGATATTTAACTCTAGTAGATAATAGTCTTTTCTTCTATTGTTTAGTTCATATAATAAAAATAAAAAAACCATACAACACTCTTTAAATAACATATATTGACAATTATGAAATTATACAATCTTTTTTACGACGATAAGTGTGTTTACTGTTGTTCTCTTATTCATATATTTTATACATTTATTTTTAAGTTTTAATATTCTTAGTAATGCAAATTCTATGTTGTTGTTTTTTCTATTATTGTCATCATGTCATTTATGTATTATGAAAAGAAAAAGAGAAAGAATCATATTTTTATTGAAACATGATGCTACATAAAATAATTTAAGGTTGATACACAAAAACATATTTGTTATGTCATTCACACACTAAACAAAAATCTTTTAAGCATAAAATTGTTTCATTTATTTATAGTATCACCATTATTAGATATATATGTTTATTAGTCATTGTTTTGTTGTCATTCATCATTGATTTTAATAAATTGTCTATTGATCTTCTTTAAAGGCTCTTTGCTTTTATTTTTTTCTCCTTATTTTTTTCTCTCCTGTTGTCTGTTTTTGTTGTTATTTTCCGACGTATGTTTAGGAAGAAGGAAATTATTTTTTGTCTTTTATATACGGATATTTGTTGTTTTGATGTATCACATTTGAAGAAGAATTCGCATCATGCAAAACAGGTAACACGTTTAACATAGAGGGATAGAAATTTGCAACCTTGTCATTTTTATACTAATAAAATAAGTTTTGTATTATGATATGCTCAATTTGGAATAACAGAATGAGTTGTTTTTCAGTTCTTAATATACAATACAAAAAGTATTTGTTAAAATATCATGCATTATTTTCACTGTCTATCTCGATGTGCTATTGACTTTTCTATGAATAATTGTAATTATGTTACTTTTCATAAACCAAGGATGGAACGAGAACTTGTTATATACCATTAGAACCATTAGAAAGAGTGTTTTAGACACTCTCAAATCTCATGACACGTCTTTTTCTTGTATACAGATTTTAACAGAAAAATGTCACTTCAAAGAAGAGGTGAGACTGAAGTTGTATAATGGTCCTAAATCGTTTCTAGTTTTTTACTAATTTTGTGACTACGACTTTGTTCTTTTGAAGACTTTGGCACATCGAGAGTACAGTAACATAATACTTGAGATTTCGATAATTACTTCTTGTATCGTATGTTCGATAGTCGAAGAATGGTAAAATAAATATGAAAATTGTCACGTTACAATTATAATTAGAGTTCAATTATTTGAAAAAATAGTTTAAAATCAGTTTTATATTAGAAATAGATTATACTCGAGGCAAAAAAAAAATGATGTTTCAATGCATTGTAATAATTACAGCTGTTGACGTAATCATTGCACAAATGATGAGTTGGAGGCAGATGAATGACTCATTTCTGTTAAAAAGTCTTTTTATACGTAATAAAACTGTATGAAAGAAAATTTTGATGAAATTTTTTTATATTAGTGCGATTACAGAGATCGATTTTAAAAAAACTTTATCTATCCACAAACTAACTGTTTCATCTTTTCTAAACAATTCTTTGCACTTGAACTGCAACAAAACACCATTACTACTTTTATTGTATAATTAAGTCCGGAGGAAGGAAGTTGATACAAACTATTTAATGAATAAATTGTTCTCTATATTTGTTTCACACACGTTTTCTTCATCGAGTAACGATCAACCTTGGAATATACGTTATTTTTTGTTATGTTCCAATCAGATAAGTTAATTATTTTCGTTTTTTTTTTTTATTCTATGCTAAATATTGTATGAAAACTTTGATAGAAATCAAATTAAGATTGTTGTCTATCTGGTATAATAATTTTAAAGAAAATTACTCGTTTCAGAAGAACGAATATATATAATTACATCATCAAAGAAAAATGACGTAAAACTTAACAAATAGTATTATTTTTGCTCTTTTGAATTTTATCAGCAACTTCTTTTGCTCCAGTTTTATATATGATAGATCTATTGTCCGAATATTTGTATAAGAACGATTAGAGATCAGTTGAGTCTATAATATTCAATTTACTAATTTTTAGAAGCAATATGAAAAGATAAATAAAAAATTGTTTATTTCTATTAAAAGGCAAAATTTGATAATATACAAAACGTTTTTAACGTTAAAGTATAATTTGAGTTCTCTTGAACAAATTATAATTAATTGGCTATTAAGAGATGATGAATGATTGTTTTCTATTATTGTATGAAGAAAAATGTTAAAATTAAAATAAGAGAGAATTTTTGAATATTTTTAAGTGCATCATATGAGTATTTATCTACTAATATGCCTCAATTGCAGCAGATACCTTGAATTATGAAAGGTCACGAATGTATCGGAATACAAACACGCACACATACACACATTAGAGAACACATGGTGCATAGAGAGAATTCAATGTAAAGAAACAAAAAAATAAAAAGAGGGAGAGAAAAAACGCACTAGAGTAGACAATATATACACGTACGTTTACAGACCCATATAGCTATCTAGTTTTTAATAATAACAAATAAGATTTTAAGTTGAAAAAAAGAGAAATACGAGTACGCGTGCGCATAGCAATACAGACTATGTTTTGGGTTTCTTTTCTTGTTTTTCGATAGATTTCGACTTTTTTCTTCCCGTATTTTTGCGTTTTTTCTTTCTTTCTCTCTTATTTTACCATCAGTATAGCAAAAAAAAAAGAGAATGACATAAAGGAATTCCGTTGTAAATATGTATATACATATATATATCTGTTTCGCATAGACAATCTATTTTCATCATTCGCGCTTACAAATATTTTTTTACCACAAGAAAAAAAAGTCAATACATAGGCACATGAATGACTCTCATATTCTGGTAAAACCGGTGCAAAAAAACCACGTAAACTATTCTTAACGTTTAATAAAACAAAAAAAAGAGAGCAAAAAACGTCTATGCGTCTGACTGCCACTGCTGTGCGTTAAAACCTATATCGTATCCATCAATATAGACAACAAGAAATATGTAATTTATTATTTTTTGTGATCTGTGATAATGTCGTCTGTTGTCGTACAAAAAGGCGATGATACTGTTCCCACTGGTATCCAAACGAAGAAGAAGAAGAAGAAGAGTGAAAAAATTAAGAAAAAAAAATCTTCTTTTTTAACAAACAATCATAAAACATCGAATAATAATCATAATAATAATGTGAATAGTAATCAACCATTAGTAGAAAATTACATTACACCACCAGAAAATTCTTCAGTGGCTAATACACACTCTCAACAAAATGCGCAAAAACTAAACACTACTCCTAATTCTAATTTTAGCGCATCGTATAGACCACTTGATTCGATTAATGAAAATGTCGAATATTATATGTTACCAAAATCAACAACCGGTATACCAATTCAACATCCCCAACAACGTCAAGTGTTAACAACATACGATGATGGTCAACAGCAACATTTTATAGATTCTCGTTCATTACCACCCTACGCTACATTAAGAAAATCACATCGAATTCATTATCAAGAACCACAATCACATTATATCACTACAGATCAAGGGGGACAACGATTTTATTCTGTATCACCACAACACGATGATGAATGGAAACGGCAATTTGTTTATGGCACTATTTCTCCCAGTCAACAAATATACTATCAGCAACCGAGACGAGTTCCATTAAGTCAATTACCTGTCTCCGCCTCGTCACCATCTAATTTTCAACCAATCTCTCCCAATCTTCGTCAACGTCATCCGCATTTCGAGCGAAACGAAATCGAACTTGTTAAACCGACATTTCTTATTGTTCCAAAATCAGTTGAGAAAGAATTAACTAAACAACTAGAGAAAGAAAAAACCGAACACGTTTCAACGAAATCGCCGCAATTAGTTAACACCAAAAAAATGACGAATGAAACACCATCATCGAATAAACCAAATAAAAAATTAGATAAGAATAAAAAAGCAAATGGTAAAATTTCAAATGTTATCGTTGACATACCAAACAAAACATATCGCAATGCTGAAGTACAAACGACAACTGCGTCGACAATAGATTCAATTCCGAATAATGTTTTTCATCAAGTATCCACAGCTGACATGCATACAATGAACGATCAATTTAGACATGTTGGATTAACTACTGCCCCAGTGAATAATCCATCACCATATGTTCATTTTGTCACCGTGCCAAATATACGTTCTGATGGTCCACCTGAACAGTCGGTAATGCAAGATGAAAATGTTCATGTTTTACCTGTGATGAATAGTCCTCAATTATACAGTGATTATGATGCACAACAACGATCGGTATCAATGAGAAGTATGCCAAATATTGCTGTTGGACAAGGTATGCTTTTACTTTTCATTTATTTTTTATGCTTTGGTTCTATCTCATTCATTTGACATTTGTTTGACCCGCATGTGCAACTGCAACTACTTTCTACTGGTTATCATGTGCTAAACTTTGATCATGTTGAACAAAAACTTCACATAATTTACCAGAATGTTTATTTCACAGAGTATCGTGATAAAAAAAATAGCAAGCATCAAACGAATCAATCTCACTATCATCTATTTTCTTAAGAAAGTACATAAAATCATTATTAAATAACTAATAGACTGTATTGTACAGCATAAATATGGGAGAATTGAATTCTATACTATACTATTCTAACAGTTGCTATTACACAGATAAGTGTTTATCTCGCTCTTTCTCGCTGTTCAACTTGTCTGTTTAATTATATGATGATATCCTTGTTCTTATTCAATTCTCTGACTGTTGAATAAAAAGAGAAATATAATAGAACAAATTTCTCTAATAACTAATTTTTTCGTCATTGACTTAAACTAAATTATTTATCGATTGCCCTTCAATATACGATATCTGTATGACGTAACTGAAGATGATATGTCGCTATCACAGACAGTCTTTCGTACTGTTTCAATCATTTGAAATGACCGTATACGATCATAAACTTTCTTATAAACAAGGTTTCTTGTCAATCAAATCAAATCAAATCAATTGAGTCTTTATCTTTGGCTGCGGGTATATATACATATATATCTATATAATGCACAAGTCTGACAATCTATAAACAAATAAATTTTTTTCTTACTGTATATTGAACAAACATATATAAACTCTAGTCTGTTTATTTGGACACCAATCAGGATCAATGAAAGAAAGTAATATTTAATATAGAACAGTGATACCATTGTGTGCCCAACTTATGTTTATATTCATAATACTTTTACCAATTAGATAATCGATTTTTTGTTTTTAAGACATCTTGGTCATTACTGGAACTTATTGACGCTTGCTTGTCTACTGTGCGCGCGCGATCCTCTTAAGAGAGCGTCTACATGAGCATTGATCAATCTTCGAAACAAGAATGATAGAGTCGACTCATATTTTCTGCATAGGTAAGTCAGATACATTAAGAAATATCTTAGTTTCTTTTTGTTAAAAAAATGTCTGATTCGCAAGCTGAGGAGATTGTACTGATGACTACGCAAACATTTGTCTCACTTTTTAATTTCTTTTAGTAAAAATGTAGTTTTCCGATGAAGAGGTGTTTATTTTCATTCAACTTTGCCTGTTTACAAGAACATATGTGTATATGACCTAGACCTTAAAGATACACCCCCATTATATTAGAGAAAATTTTCATCTTTGAGACAAATGTAGTGCATGATAGAGTAACGTGCCCTCTACAAAATAAGACCACTCCTAGTTCTCCACAACCTTCTGTTGGGGAGATACGATTTTTTTAAAGTTTGCCACTTTACTCTAAACAACGCAATTTTTCGACTATCGAAAATTTATTCTCCATTCCAGCACTTGAGAATTTTTTCAGATAAATTGGCTCCACTTATGCCCCCCACGCCCGAAGTTTCATCCGATCGCTTTGACTGCTTCTTAACCTTTAGGAGTAGTAAATTCTTTTCGAAAGTCCGAAATGAGAGGAAGTGCATCCTTAATGCTTTAAGAGTATCCAGTTCAAGCAAAAGTTTTATCTTAAAGCTATTTTGTTCGGAAATTTCTAGAGACACTCGTTCGATTCACTTTTGCATAGAAAACACGCCTGTGTAGAGTAATAGCTTGATAAAAAAAGATCTGAAACATCAGCGTACCGATCGTTATTTTGTCTATATAACTTAGTAATTTTTGTTTTCAATTTCTGCGAAAAATATCATTATTACACGAAAATTGAAAAACTTTTCGATAATTTATTAGAACGCTATCTCGATCTTGGTACAAATAAATTTTTTGAAATCAAAGTAACTAAGTTTGTAGCCCATATTCTCAAGTGCAAGTTGAATGAAAATAAACACCTCTTCATCGGAAAACTACATTGTTACTAAAAGAGATTAAAAAGTGAGACAAATCTTTATCGACTAGTCATCAGTACAATCTCTTCAACTTGAAAATCAGACATTTTTTTAACAAAAAGAAACTAAGATATTTCTTAATGTATCTGACTTACCTATACAGAAAATATGAGTCGACTCTATCATTCTTGTTTCGGAGATTGATCGATGCTCATGTGACTTCTTGAGTGACATAGATTTTTCTCAATAATGAAATAAGTTTCAAAACAATTTTAGTTTCACCACAATTTTATACACGATCGGTGCGTCCATATGTCGTTCGAACCGACGAAGAAGTTACTTATAATCAACCCATATATCAACGACATAAAACAAACACCGATGTTGTTGAAACTCATAATCCACAACAACAATTGAATAACAATCAAATTTATGAAACACACGCAACAAATGTACCTGTCGATGGTATTCCGTCTACGAGTAATGTGAGATCGAATGCATTGTCGCAAATGGCACAGTCACAACAACACCAACAACAACACCAACAACAACACCAACAACAACAAGTACCTGATCCAACAACATATAAGTCAAATTCTGTAAGAGCAAAACAAACGATATTAGTACCAACGAGAGCGAATATGGAAACCCCCACGGATGAAAGTAGTGTGGCGTCATTAGATTTTCCAACGGATATGGATGTACCAGGTTCATGGAAATTTCGTTCTCTTGATGGTAATGTACATCGTGTGACACGCGGTCGAACCAGAGCTCCACTGCCAGTCTCCTTCACTGATCCAGCGGGTATTCATAGTGATACAGAAGTTGTCCGATCCGCTAGTTTTCGACACGTACAGCAACCAACACTACTTCAGAATTCAAGAATGTATGGTTCAATACCAACAATAAGCAGGTAATCACAAATGTCCATTTTTCGTTTTTATTAAGCAGTCATTTGATCATCTACATTTTTATTTTCATTCAGACCATATGACTCAATGCGCAGTGGTATTCAATTAAACATGACTCGTGTAAGTGAAAAAGATGCTCAAAAAGTAGCTTCATTTTATCAAAGCATCGGTACATTGGTCTATGTTGGCCGTTCAATAGCAACATTATATACAAGCGACTTTAATTCAATGGCAAATTTGAAAGACTGGCGAAAATTGTATACTGGTAAAGAGTCTCTACGTGTCTCACTCATTCTCTACTCTTTTTATTGTTTAGGTATCCCAATTTGGTTGTTTAACACTGGCATGAATCCAAAACGTGGTCGAAGTATTCGATTAATAATTAGTGAAATTGGCAGTTGCTTTACTCTTTGGGATACAATTGTAAATGGTGCATCGGATGTTCGTCTACCCAAAGAACGTCATATAACATTAAAATCATTAGAAAAAGGCACTGTTTTAGCATTGAAATTTGATGATCTTAGTGCTACAGAAGAATTTCATAATTATTTTAGTCGTTTATCATCTGATCCTAGAAATCAAGATTTATTTGACGTATTTAATCCAAAACGTCGTTTACCCACATTTCAGTTGAGAAAAAAGAAAGTAAAAAAATCGGCCATTTCAAAACCTACAGAATTTAGCCACATAACAAAAGTAGATGAAAATGATCGAGAAAGTTTGTACACGTATTCTGTTCTTGTTGAAGATCATTGAACTCTCTCACGTTTCTAATATAAGCCTAAAAATTTGTACACCATACAATATCTGCTTTTATCCACCGTTTTATTTCCTTTTTTTGTTTCCTAAATATTATATAAAATATGTATTTTGTATAGGGCATTTCAGTAACAGTATTATATTAATCGTGATTGCAGCTTTTTTTTTCATTTACGTTAAAACAAAAAAGTCATTTATTTAGGTGAATGTTCTATCGTTTTTACATGTTTCTTTAACGTTAAAAAGGTCAAAAGGTTTACAAAATAAATTTATAAGTTTTGATGCATTTGTTACAAAATCTATCACAAAAAGTACTTGCTTTTTTCTCTTATGCATGAATTTCAATTGATTGTAATGTAATAATTTTAACTAAGTAAGAAAGTTTATGGTTAAGTTTTTCTTGCTACAACTGGTATTTAAATTTTGAATTTGAAACTATTTCAACGTAAATTTGCGTAAAAAAATTTTTTTGTTTTTTTTAATTGAAAAAATTGTTGAATATTGAGAAAACAAAAAGTGAATTTAAAACATTCAAAACACTATATATGAGACAACAAAAACAACAGACAAATAAATTTCTTTTTCTTTTTTTTCTTATTTTGTGAACTAATTTTCTTTAATTTTCACACTCTTATCTTTGTTCTATTTCGTGGATGGTTTAGTATGCAAAAAGTGAACTTTGTCTTTTTTTGATCTCGTTTATTGTTGTTGTTGTTCTTGTCGTGATGATTAGAATTAGTATATGCGTGTTTAACCTTAACAGAAAACTAGTCTCACTCTGCCAACTATAAGCCAATTATTTCTTCGTCTTAAACTTATCATGTCAGGACTATATATAAAATAAACATAGCTAAATTCAATTTTATAGTGAGATATAATATCTACATCCTCTTTAGAATAAATTCAAAATAAAAGTAAAAGTCAATCTTTGCTTGTAGGAGTTTTAGTTTTAGAAAATTCCTGAGACTGTTTTATCGATCTATCTTCTATCATACGTATATCTAGTATATATTTGTTTTATGCCTGTTATTTGTCATGATAAAGATAATCAGTTTCATTTGTAAAAATATCGTTTTTATTTTCTTTTTCTTTTTTTTTTTTGTCTGCCTGTTTTGTTGTTCAATTTATAAATTTATCAAGAAAAACGATGAGAAAATGCATAGATTAAATTGGTGCCCGAAGGAAGTGAAAGAGAAATGAATTGGTCAAATTGCAAACATTGTCCGTAAATTTATGTTTAACAAATAAGTAATTGTGTGTATAATAAAAAAAAAAGAAAAGGGGGGGAATAAATAAATCTTTTACTAATATTTTTAGAAAAATAACATTCGAGATATTTGTGTATGATGTTGAACACATCATCCAAAGATGAAATTATCAATTCAAAATAATCTAAGAATAAATTTAAGATAAAATTATTTATTTCAAATTTTTTATTCTATTTATAATTTTAATAAACAAGTGAACTAAAATTAGAATTTAAGTATTTAATACTCAAATTCACATTTTATAAAATTTTCACATTAGAGGTTAGATTATACTATAAATTTTTTAACTTCTATTCTGTTCTAAAAGAGATAGAGTGTTTAAGAAGAGTAGCAACACATAGACAACCTTTTGCTGTATACCACAACACCAGATGTTAGTGTAAAAAATACAATTATTGAATAACATTAAACTATAAACTGTATATTCTACTATTCGTTTTTTTTTAGCGACTTTGTATAGTTTAGATAATGAGAAATATGTCTTTCAACAAACAGACTAATTCACATAGACTTTTTACAACATAAAAAACAACAGTTATATCTATCTTATGATCTTTAATACAAAACGTAAATGACAGTAGAAGTTTTCAGTTATCATTTATGTTAAAAGTGTCTCAAAACAATGATATTAAGAAAATCTTAGAATAATAACTAAGCTAATTTATCCATATCTAAGAAAACTGTTTCTAATGTGTCTGAAATTTATCCTAGCAATTTTGCGGGGTTTTTTTTTGCCGTAGACAATTCATTATGAGAGATTTGTTATCAGGGTTTTCATTACAGATTTTTTTGTTCCGTATAATTCATCGAGTAAAAAGAACAATTAATTTTTATAACCAAAATAGATTTTTCTCTTTTATTTCACAGAGAGCATTCACGAACAATAAATATCTCGAATGAAAGAAGAGAAAGTGAAGAGACGAGGAACTGTTTTATTTATACATCATAGAGTAGATCTTTCATTTATTTCGAGATCAATTCACACGAGTTAAATGTTTGCGTGGTAGTTATGATATGAATTAGTTGGATGCATGCAATTTAAGTCGAACTGCAACAAATGTGACATTGTGAACATAATCAATTGGTTATTTCCCTATCTTGTTCATATTCTCTTGTTATTGTTCGATTTGTCAAATGGACATTACTCAAGATTGAATAATTAAATCAAAGATCTCATTTATGAGAGATAAATAAAACAGTTCCTCTCTCTCCTTTCATCCGATATGTTGTTCGTGAATGATCTCTACGGCTAGTCCACGTAACGCGATATTTCACTGATTAAGTTTTTAAGAAATTTTTATTATCCGAGAACCGATATGAGTACATCATTAGATGCAGTTTTCCGCGCTGATTACGAATCCGATCTTCTTAGTAAATAAAAATAAAAATTTTAATGAAATAATTTTAATTTAAAATTTTTAATCTAGAAAGTTTTTTAAAAAAATTTAAAATGTACACCATTCGATAGGAAATTAAATTCTCTACAAAATGGCTCATTGCTCATTGTTTTCAACAATTCGACTTTAGGAACAAAACTTACGCATTTTCAATGTTTCAAGGTTCCAGTCAAGTTTAAAAGCCTGAAAAGAATTTTTCAACTTTATTTTTCGCATAAATCGATAGAATATCACCAAATCTATGGCAAATATAAAAATCACGTTTTTTGGAGGATATTAAGTACCTGAAAATTCACTGACAAAACAGTGTGTCACGCCGTCACATTTGTTTATTGACATTTATAAGCGAGGGAAAAGCTTTGGAAGAAAACATTTTTTAGATAGTTCGTAAGCTTCTCTAAAATTTTCGCTCTAGACAGTTTCTATTTGCTCAAGTAGTTTCGCAGGAAATTAGCATTTAATTGGATATACTCGCAATTTAGAGCCTTTTTCTGCCACGTTCATCATACACTGAATATTCCTTTCAAAGCCGTAAATATCACCCAAATTTTCTCATTTTTTTTACCAGAAACAGAGGACAGTGAACTGCACAAAATGGCGGTAGAATCATCCTTCTACCTCTTATAGTTTCTATAAAACTTGAGAATTACTATGTCAAAAATATCACGCCGCTACGTTTGGACAAGCCGTCTACCCACTACTCTGTGAAATAAAAGAGAAAAATCTGTTTCAGTTATAAAAAATAATTGTTCTTCTTACTCGACTAATTGTCTCTTCGAGGAATTATACGCAACAAAAAGATGTGATGAAAACACCGGTTACAAATCGTTCACGATGAATTGTCTACGACGAAAAATTCTGGTAGTTATAATCAATTGACGAAAGATTCTGCATATCAAACTGTTAATTCTGAACATAATGCCATCCATGTTCATATTTAAATCAGTACCTCAAATACCTTTCTGTTCAGCATAAATATTTAATTTTGTTCAATAATTTACTAAACAAAATTAATAATAACAAAAACAATGAAATCAAGAATAAGTCAACAAAATAACAATAACAAAATTCGTTTTATCCAATAGTGTTTAAAGATGAATTGACTATTTCTTGACCTTTACTATTCTGAGTTGAAAACGATGATATTATCGGTATATCAAGCAGCGTTCATAGTTGTCGTTCCTTGTGTATCCATTCCAAGCAGAATTGTTTCAATCGCACCTTTTGTTCTCATTAATTCTGATTGATATCTTAGTTCTTGACTAATTAAATCTTTCAATTTCATTATTGCTTTTGTATTCTTTCCTTTTCTCATCAACTCTTTAATATAAATTTGTGATAACAAATAGGTAACATCAATTAATGTCGGCATAGCATTCGCTTTAGAAAAATGTTTTTGTATAAAACGGACAATTTTTAACAATGATGTATCATCTCTACCAGCTAGGGCTTGCTTAATCATATTTCGACGAAATAATTCTTTGAGCACAATTATAGCAAGTTCTGGTTGACGATGTTTAAGACTGGCTGTAAATGCCGCATCCAGTGCGGATGAAGCACGAAATTTTCGTAAATAATTATCATATGCTTCCAAATGTGGACGACGATTGGCACTAACAAGATGATCAGATGAATCCAGTACAGGAGTTGCAATGCCTAAACAAAGAAGAGCACAAATTTGTCTTAAAATCTAAACTACTCAAACAAGACCATATACAACAACAACAACAGAAAAGTAGTGTTAAAGAATATTAAACTACATACCGCTTGGAAAAAATCGCCGTTTTCTACGTCGTCTCGATTCTGATGATGATGTTATTGACTTTGTATCATCTGTTGTTTGCATTTTTCTATCATTATCTTCGTTTGAAATTGTAATATTCGTAGTAGTTGTAGCATTGTTAATTATATATCCATTATTATTATCTAACTGTCCTGTTCTCCGTCTCATTGACCACAATCCACCTGGCATACCCACTAACAGTGCTTTATCATCGGGGTTTAAAATAGCCATTGACAAAACAGCATCCGGATATTGTAGTGTGTGTACAACACGAAATGTTGTTGCGTCATAGACTTTAATATGTCGATCCAATCCACCTGATAATATATAGTGTTGATCACTACTAAATGCTGTACACAATATACTTTTATGATGATTTGATAAATTTGCCAATAATCTTCCTCCACCCAGTAAATCCCATACTTTTACACATGGACCTCCCGCTGTTATCGCTAATGTCTCATTTGAATAAACAAGTACCGATTCAATTTGATGTCCATGATCCACAGATAAAACACTTGTACCAGTCCGTTTATCAAGTAATTTCATGGTATGATCATAACTACCACTCAGTAATAAATTTGAATTCATCTGACCCGGTGCTAACGCACGAACGTAATCTGTATGAATATTTGAAAATGTTGAAAATTCTTTTTCTGTTGCCAAATCAAATATCCGTACCGTTCGATCATCAGACCCAGTAATAATAAAATTTTTATCACGTGAAAAATACGTACAATGTACTGGTGAACCTTGATGTTCTTTAAACAAACGTAATTGTGAACGTGTTTCAAAATCAAACACGCGAACGAGACCATCTTTAGCACCAGCACATAATAAACGTCCATCGGAACGAAATGTTCCACAGTAAACTGTTTCTTTAAATGAATAAAATGAGCGTACTAATGTTAACGATTCGGGTGAATAGATCTGAACCCGCGTTGAATCTGTGATGGATACCCATTGTTCTTTAATTGGAGCAACATCAATTTTTGTCACAGGACCATATTCACGAAATGTAACCGGGTGGCCTTCATTCAGGCCTTGCCAATACAAATTATCATCTGACAAAATACTACGATCATCAATGGATCTTTCAATATGGAGTTGTTTAAAATCAGACATTTAACCGCCTTTCTAGCTAGCATTCAAAACAAAATAACCAATAATCTAAACCAGATAAAACAAATTAAAAGAAAATTAATCTTAAAGTATTTGTCCGTTTCTAATGCCTTGGTACATCTACGAGTCAAATTTACGAATTATAGCTTTAATATTTTCGCAATCTTTCTCTCTTTTTAAATTAAGAATTTATTTGCTCTCTACGTTTCTATTATTGGTCATTCTTTTTTCAGCAACAGAAAACAAATATTAGATGTCGCTTTTTGCACTGCAGTTCGCATACTACCGATTACGACCTTACTGACAATTGTAGAAACAGCAGTTTGAATATGCACTACAATAAAAGAACAACATGTATAAATTCTTATTTCATTACATAAGAAAGCTTTTTAAAAACAATTTAGACGTTTAGTCCGAATGTTTCTGGATAAAATGAGATGGCTCCAAGCCTCCTATGACACTTTGTCATTAAACTTCATTCAATTGATAAAAGGCTTCAAATGTAATTCTTTCCGGATATTGACGGTTTGAAGCGTTTTGTTCCTTAAATGCGTTAACTAATGAAAAAATAAAATTCAGAGACATCTCATTTTTTGTATAAAACAAGCTGTCAACTTAACTCAGCTATTCGGTTTTCCAGAGGCTGAGTATTCAAAGCTTTTGAACAAATTTTCACACTTCTCCGCGTTATAAATCATTTCAGATGCTTAAATTGATTTTTGAATTTCTTTTAGCTACAACGATCGAAGAAAAATATCAAAAATTAAGATGAACGCTCAAGTTTTGCAAACCCTGTGTAATGCAAGTGTCTTTGAAACTTGTAGCTTTGATTATTTTTTTCGTGCATTCCTCTTCTGACACTGCGTGAAAAAAGTATTAGGATATGCCATTACAGATTGTTCTTTGTATTATACCCGATCAACGAAAATAAATGAAAACTATGAGAACAATGTTTTTGCGAACGGCTGTTAAATTCATTGTAAATTCAACAGTTTGTCACTGTACCATTTTTTCAGAGAAATTTCATTGCTCTTGCTTCATCAAACACAAATGTTGATCTATGACCTGCTACCTCGTATCAATGTTTCAAAACTCTTCTCACTCAATGTTTTCATAGTGATTTTGTTGTTTATTTATTAATAAAAAGTTTTGTTTTGAAAATACGAACCGAGTTAGCTAATATTCTGATAAAAAAATAACATAGTTTATTTTCTAAAATAAAGACAAAAACAATATCACTAACTTGATAATGAATTACAGAGCCATGTAAATCTATTTACTTCTAGCAAAACAATAGCAGAGTAATAACATCGATATGGCCTTTATAAATGAGGAATTCACACTCACTTTGACTAGTAGTCTCAAAAAAAACAATAATCATTCTCAAGAAGTGAGAAAAGACTATAGGCAAATTTAGATAGATGTTGGAAGACGTCAAAACGAATTAAAACCCTACACAACATCTGAAGTATAACGAAGAATTGAACAAAATATTGAAAAAAATATTGCACAAAACAAAACAAAAAATGAAATGCAACTGTTTTTTATACATAAATACGTACCGCTAGCTGGAAACTAAAAGATAAAAACCAGAACGTTTTATAAAAATCAAAAACAACGAAAACAAGTATCTGATCCATGTCTGTGCGCAGGTCTCGTTTGCTCATTGCAAAACTTTAGGCATAGTCTATGGGTTAAAAACAAATGTGAACAAAAATCTGTGCAAAAACAATTTCAATGCTCACTTCGAAGTATACCACTACACACAAAACGTAGATTTGATTAGGGTGGAAAAGAGACAATTCACTCACTCCTAAAGTCTACTTGTACTTTTATTTATTTCTCCAGTAGAGAGCCTTTTTTCCTTTGCTCTCCAACCCTTCTTCTTCTTCACAAATAGGAAATTCCTCTCTAGAAAAGCTCCTCGTTCCTAACAAATTGCAATCGAAAGCAGTCCCCAATGCCGAAAATAGCAAAAAAAATGTTCTAATACATCCTGAAGACAAAATGTTCAATCCTAACTCCTGACTTATTTCATTTCGCCTCGGTTATCCAATGTAAGAATATTTACCGAAATAAGTGTAAGAGCATGAATAGGGAGAAAGAGAGAGAAGAGATGAAAAAGAGATTATCATAATAAATGTAGAAAAAACCTATATGCAAAACAAAGAACACAGAAAACGAAAGACAACAAATTGATAT